AGAGTTGTAGTTTTAAGAGCTTATTCAAGATATGCTTTTGTTTTTTTTTTTAATCCACAGTTTACTAGATATGAGCGAAAAACATATTTAGTGATTTTTCATTTAGCTGTTGTAGAATTTTTAGTATTAGAAATACGCAAACAACAAAAATTGTAGATTTTTTTTCGCTTAGGATACATTTATTAATATTCATTCTTCTTTTATATTTTTCGAGCTATAACGCAAACTTACATTTTTTTAAATGGTAATCATAGTTGGCTGTGACATTTTTAAAAAGTGCATTTTTTTCTGTTTACAATGATATAAGGTTCATTGTACTTACTTTGACAAATAAACATGATACAGAACTGTTTGTATTATTAAGAGTAGTAATCCTACATATCTTGAAATTCATTTGGTAGAAAATGAAGATAGGTAACATTGGCCTGTCCAATTTTCGTCGTAAATGAAAGGTACCTATCTCACTAGATATTGTTTTCCATGGCCAACTCTGTTTACTTACCTCTCAATAATACGAAGATTACTGCAGGGCGTTTATTTATTAAAGTACATTTATTTATTTATTTATTTATTCATATTCATGTTAGGGTGCAAAACACTTACATTTGTCAAAAAAGGTTTACATGTAAAAGTGTATATAACATAACAAGTCAAAAATAGAACAAACAAACAATAATACATTAACACTAAATCACACTACTAACAAACATCTAACATGTTTGTAAGTTTCGCATGATCCTCAAATTCATCTAGGGTGTAAAAAGCATGTTCAGTTAGGAATTTTTTAACGACACATTTAAATTTGGTATGGTATATGGTAATTCTTTGGAACAGGAATAAGATTAGCAAGCCTTATATCATTATAAAGAGAAAAATTTGTCCTTTTTAAAAATGTCAAAGCCAACTATGACTACCATTAAAAAAAATTAAAGTTTGTATTAAAACTCAAAAATTGTAAGATCTAAAAATAAATTAGTATGTTCATCGTGTTAAGCATTAAAATGTCTAAAACTTTTATTCGTGTCATTTTGTTGTATTTCTAATAATAACGATTCTACAACGGTTAAATGAACTGTGGATTTTTTTCAAAAAACAAAAGCATATCTTAAATAAGCTCTTAAAACGACAACTATTTCCTCATTTAAGCGAATCCGTATGTCTTATGGTTTCCGAGATCCCAATGCTTAAAATCCCAATGCTTAAAATGAAAAATCCCAGATAGCATAGGTAGAATTTAACTCAAAACTGATCAGTTTACAGTTTGTAAGCATAGCATTGCATACCAAATACGTAAGGTTAAATTTTACATAACGTCTTATTGGAAAATTAGTTTCTAGTTTGTTGTTATAAGATCGTAAGGCTTGGTAGCTTTGCTACTTACGGGAAATTATTCGATGCGATTTCTTAAGATTCAAATAACTCGCTATCAAAGCTGTCCTTCATTTTTAACAAATTAAAATCTTTACCTGCTGCTCTTACACCTTAGGTACATGTCTGTTATGCCCAACAATTTATATTTAATTTTCTGATTTCTTTCAATGATTAATTTTCGTTTGTTCAAATCTTCAATTCAAAATTTATCCAACACAGGAACCTGCGCCGACGATTTTTCTAAATACTTTATTGTAAATGTCATTGCTATTGCCTGAACTAATGATTAAGTTAAATTCTGCCACGGGCTGTAAAGCACTTTCGAATCGTTAGCGATCATAATAAGAGGTTTGTCAGATTTTCAGTTAAACTACAATAAACAACCAAACAATCTTGCGGTCCAGCTTTCGTTTAAGGGATGAAAATCAACTTACGATGTAATAAAATATTCCGGTCACAAACATGAAGCGCCTGCGATCAATATTTTGCATTATCCCGTCGAAACCTTTCGTAATTTAATTATATTTATTTTGGAATATTTCTCTCGTTTGCATAAATTTATCTCAATTAAACATTTCTGAACAGGATACCATAGGCAAATATAATGGAAAATTAATGAGAATCCCAAATAAATAAGAAATATTTACGCAAATTGCTAACTGGGTATTGATTTTACCGTCCCAGTTCAAAAGAGATGAGATATAAGTAAAATGTTATTGCAGTCATTTAATGCCGAATTCAACATATACCTAAACGATATTTTCAATTTTAATTTTGTAACTGTAGCTACGTATTCACCTTTTGGTGCTCTGAAAGCTCCTAAGTTGGTTGTCCCTATCCTTTACATTTTTACAATTTTGGAACAAACTCGCATTCGCTAGGTCAATAATCATTTTAAAATATGGCTACAAGTTTCTCGTTGAAAAAATATAGACCTTGATGGGAGAATAATCAATGGTTGAAGATTGATTTTGTCAATTACATATGTCCTAATTCGCGATAAGAAGTTTAAATGTTGTATGACCTAAGAAAGAATGAATTAATTTAAGACTTGCATTGTGTTAGGAATTTCAGAGCCCGGTAGAAAAGGTTATATGTACGGAAGGAAAGGTGAACGGGAATTCATGAGGTCTGACGGGATGACTGCAATTTCAATTGAATGCGAAGGCAAATACATAAATTGGAACCGAACCCCCGAATTTAGAAATTGCTGACCGCAACGATTTCTATGATCCACCATCCATACCGCACAACGACTTCTTCTCGCATAGTACATTACACCAATAAAATTAATGAAATACTCGTGTTTAGGTAATGAAAATTAAATACCCGCGTATTAAGTTGCCAATAACGCTCGTCCGGCAAAAATGTCGAATGCAATTCGAAAAGGAAAAAAAAAATGTAGGAGACCGAGAATTATGACAACCGCAGACTCGGCGGATCTATTCGATCTAACAAATCGTAAAAAATTGCGCGTCAAAAGGCGACCATCTTTCTTCTACTTAACCGGATAATAGGGTCGAGAACGAATCAAATACATCACAATTGACAAATTTTCCTGGTTTTGACCACTTTTGCCGAAGAGGAAAGATTTACAGCGGCGTACCGGACGAAGACAACTTTTTATCTAGTGGCCATTATTATATTTTATTAGACAAACTTCACACTTTTAAACGTAATGTAACGCTTACGGATTTTAAATAACCGTTTAAACAAATTTCATTTGAAGCCAAGTCACGAAAAATGGATAATTAACAAGTGTCATTTCTACGGAGCACATTTGTGATGTTTATAGAGTTTATTTTATATACCTACCTGAAAGGCTGAAACTGAAAAGATCAAAAAGTGTCGTTGTAAGTAAGAGCATTAATAATAATTGCTTAACTATTGATGCGCCTCCTCTTGATGGGCTTAGTAAATTATTTGAAAAAAAACAGCGAGTCATTAAAGTTGCTAAACATCCAAAAAACGATAAGAGGCCTGATTCAGCACCAAAATAAACAATTGATATTGCCTACACCTTTGAGGAGAAGTCATAGTTCATACCCGCATGAAGTTAGCCCCCCAACATAAAAATAATGGAACGTCAAATACTGCCTTCGTTTGCACATTGATTGCACATTTAGGCACACTTCGAATTGTCATTTACACATTTCACTTAAAAGAGATATTGAAAAAACAATGTTGGGGGTGCTAACTTCACGATTTTGGCCACTCAACATTAAATTAATTGATTATTAATTAATTATAATTATAATATAATATTATTAAACTTAAGACAAAGTTACCCATTGCACTTGCTTCCTATGTATTATCATTACATCATTCCATCATTTGTGTAATTATTATTTTGTTGCATTGTGTGGTTTTTAATTTTTATAAGTTATATTGTTCACTAAACTGCTTTTGTAACAAGTGAAAAAAGTCTTGTTTTTATTTAAATTTCTACAGTTACTGCGATTGGTTTTAAAAACATTACTGTAGCTTTAATTTCTAAGGTACCTATAACATATTTGACATTGTAAACATAATTTTTTCTGAAACTACAACCAAAATTGAAAAATTATCGTATGCAATAATGAAGTTTGACACATAGTAATCTAGATACGGGTGTGTTGTAATTCTAAATGTCATTCGTCAGATTAACGTCGCAATTGTTTTTTACTTTCCTCACTAGAGAGGAAAATCACATTTTCTTAACTTTTAGAGACGGAAGTAGTTGTTTCTAAAGTAGTTTCAGAAAAAATAAGTTAAGTTACTGCTATTAGGCGTACGTTTAGTGACTTAAGCAAAGACAGATTTTGTTTATTAAAAACTGTTACCTATGATCATATTTATTATTCAATAAACAGTAATTCGTCGATTAACCTTCTAAAAGATAACACTCCCCGTTTGGACACCTTGTACAAAAACTTACACCATACCATACATGGTGTTTTTTAAAGATGGGCCATAGAAAGCACATACCTAGCATACATCATAACCGTGTGTGACAACAGACAATGGAAAGCCGTTGAGTTATTTAAAATGGGCCATAGGAAAATTTACATTGCGCCAATTGCTCTCAAATCTTGGCCTTGCGCTTAGTTATTTCACTGACAGTTCTCGAATCTGAACTACGCAAATTTCTGAACTAGTGTTGCATCGCCATTTCGAAGTGAAATATGAGATCGATTTTGCGGAATTGAAAGCTGCACGACGCAAGAAAATAGTCTGCAAGCAATGATTTGCAGGAAGTTGATTAATATGTAAACTTTAGATCGCAGTATAAAATATTGTCATTCTCAGATTTCAAAAAGCTAGTTATCAATCTTGTTTTATCCGAGAATCTGAGCTTTATGCCTGATTGATGAGACCGAAGCGTTCCCTATCTGAATCGCGTTTTAACTGCAGCAATCGGATAAAAAACGTCGACGAATATGCCTCGGTCGAAAAGTTTTTAACTTTTCTTGCGGTTCTACTCGTTAGCAAGACGAATGTTACTATAGTTTTTGGGAAAGTTGAGCTCAACTCTAATTGTCGTGGAAAAGCTCTTAATAGGTAAAGTTGACTCGAAGTTATTTTCCTTACTAAACCTAAGCTTTTCCGCCGGAGAAGTTAGTTGTGGTATGCCTGCGTAAAAAATTTACCTGCACGATGTCTCCGTGACTTTGGCCATTTGCTGTGAAGGTAAGGTGACATAAGAACGGCAATCTCGTCTCGACGGGCTTAATAACGTGTAGATCGTATGTCTTGCCGACGTCCCCGTAATACGTGCGATTACACACTGCAACAAAATTTGTCCATTAGAATTCAAAATTAAAAACTGTGTTCGAACTTCATAATCTTCCTCGGAAAACGTTAATTAATCCTTCACGGGGTAGCTAATGGATATCGATCGCGCCTAATTATAGAACGTATCGGATATTGATTGAAAACGTTTTAATAATGCAAGTCCGAGTTTCTTGTACCTACCCATCGTTGTACGCTTACAAATTCATTTGCCATTGTCATTTACGTGAAAAATTCATAAAAATGTCTCAGGTTTTCATTTTAATTACATTAGTTATTCATGGAACAGTTTAATTAAAAGACTTAGTTGTCATACACTTGGAAAAACTTTTGAACTATGCTAGATTTACGGTTGGCGAGAAGTGCTTTAGTAATTTAGTTTGTTACTTTTCTTTCCTAGTTGCGGAAATGCCCCGCTCTAAGTAAATTACATGGCCGAAATTAAATGAAGACCGTTTCCTTTCGAGCGAAATATGTCGTACGCTCCTCAAATTGGGGACACTTATCTGGCATCTAAAATTTTATATGATTGTGTATATCCGAATCTATAAAACGGTTTGGCATAAAACTTTTACAGCAAAAATAAAAAATGCGAGGACGTAAGTTTTTTTTTCCAAAATACGAACTTCGACCATGATGGAAAGGCGAAACAATCATTTACAAAACGATTAAAAAGTACGTTTAGCAACTCGCGCGCACTTCTAATTACATACTTTGTTTTAGATTCGCAGGTTAATTTAAATTTTAATCTGAATGTATGATGCAGGTGTATAGGGGTGATCGGATTATGAGCATTACAATCCTTGGGATTTGTTGTGGATGAGAGCAATAAAACATTGGGTTTTTTTAGCAGCGATAACATTTTTTGACAAGTGAATAAAAGCATTTTAAAACATTAAACAAAATATTAATTTTTCATGAAATTCTGAGCTCAGTCGCTTTTGAAAAGGCAAGTTGTCTTTAGTTGCTAACTGAAGGGATCTTTATATGATTATAGAAAGTGCCCAAAGTACAGTAAGAAATTATATACACACAGAAAATGTACCTAATTCAGTTCTCCTCCAAGTTTGTCCAATTCGCGTCGCTTGTAAAGGGTTTCAACACAGGCAAGCATATAAATGTATAAATTCTGCATAAAAAAGTTATGAATTTCGCTTTCGTGATTCGTGCCAAAAGTATTTGTGATAGTTCTAGAAGTTGAAGAGAGAAGGTAAAAGGTAACTGATTTAATTTCTAGAGTTGTGTTTCAGCCGCTGTTACCGTGAACAAAAAACAAGACCAAAAAGTTTCTCATTACAAAAATTACTACGAGAGAAGCTTATTCGGAAAATCATTGAGTATGTCAAATGTTATACCGGTAGCTTTAAATTGGCATTTAATCTTATTTCAAAATTTGGATTCTACAGGCCACATTCTATAAGAAAATTTTTTTTCCGGGTCGATCTGAGACAATTTTTGTTTCTTGCCTAAAAACACTTTTTCTTATTAATTTTGGTGCGTAGAATCCAAAACAATTCGTACTTTTTCGATCAGACTTCTCAATCAAAAGTTATAGACTAGAAACCAATTTCGAAAGAAAATTCAAAGGGGCTGTAACTTTTGAACTAGTAGCCCAATCTTGGAACTGTTTGAAATTATGGATTCTACAGGCCACATTCTATAAGAAAATTTTTTTCCGGGTCGATCTGAGACAATTTTTGTTTCTTGCCTCAAAAAAAGGCAGTGTATTACCTTCCTTTTTTGACAAAAATCGACTGCACCAAAATTTCTCGGGAAAATACTTTTTCATATTAATTTTGGTGCGTAGAATCCAAAACAATTCGTACTTTTTCGATCAGACTTCTCAATCAAAAGTTATAGACTAGAAACCAATTTCGAAATGAAATTCAAAAGGCTGTAACTTTTGAACTATAGCAGCCCAATCTTCGAACTGTTTGAAATTATGGATTCTCAGAGCTACACTATTACTGTTGTTTAAATGGTTGAGGATTTGCTGAACACTGGAATTAGGATGCAGACGTGAAACGTGAAAGTTTAATCGTTTGATTGCACCACCACACGTAGTCATCATTCAGTTAGAACAGGATCATTAGTACACACTGCATAAGAATGGATCAAGAACAAATAGAGACGGCTGAGGCCAGGTTTTCATTAAATTTGCAGTTAAGTGATATAAAGTTCTTGGAGAGATATAGAATATGCAAAGCAACGGGGTACCTACCTATGTATACTACCTACCGCACAGAAATATTTGATTGTAAAAGCAGTTTCCAGACTTGAGATTGTTAAGTTTATAACTAAGTTTACATTATAATAAATAAGGAAGTAGATTAACAAAGGTTGCACAAAGAGCTCGTCTATTGTGCAACTTTCAATGTTAAGTACCTACAGGTGACTATGTTCTACCTACCAGCTTATTTCAATAAACCTATAGCTTTCTGGACATCACGGACCGGCAAAAGTGTTCAAGCTGATGCTTTTATTTCATTCTATAAGAGAGTTAGATAACTAGTAAATAGCCATGGTTGTACACGACAAAGACGGGCACTTAAGCGCGCTCACAATAGAAAATGTACATTAATGTCTACATACGAACATTGAGCTTAACTTTATCCTTTATTTCTATTACTAAAGTTTGACACTTGCAACTCCGAGCACGAGAACATGCGGTTGAACTTATTATTTAGACTAAGCTTATATGTAAGCTTTCAAGGCATTCCTTCTTTTCCCCCTTTGCTCATAATTGCGGACACAAATTTGCAGCTGTCGGAAAAATAAGGAAATAATATCCTTCTTTCTCTCGGCGATGAAATGGAGGTACTAAAATGAAGAACGGTTTTTCTAGTATAAAATGCTGGCGCAGAATGAGAAAAATTAAACTTTTCATTGAATTTGCGAATCCAATCAAACTGGTGAGCTCAATTCACGTGTGACTTTTTGTTCCGCGAAACAGTGTGTTTAGTTCCGAACCGCACAAACCCAATTACTATACGTTTTCTACAAAACCCTTTGACTTTGACACACAAATTTCACCTCAATTATCTATTATATTATTACCTATTAATTTCGGTGCTCTCCGAATACGCGGAGACTGGTAGGCTTTCAGCTGTTAAGTCTATCATGGTATAAAAATGAATAATTAGTTAATTAAAAAGAAATGTTTTAGAGTAGCTTGACATTTTAAATTGTTTCTCACAGCACATAATGTAGCGCATGGTAAGTCAGTGAATTTAGGGCGTTTACCCCGAGACTGAAACCGTCGGAAGTAAGCTAAAATCAAAACACAGTAAAAGTTTAAAAATCACCGCTATAGGTACCTACATTTGTTTTTGCCAATTTGATAACAATCCAATTCACTCTTATTATTTACCTGCTTAACACATGTACCTTACGGTTGTTTTCATGTATAATGACGCGGCAACGCCAGAATTATCCCAACTTTAAGTGTACCTAACCTACTTCATTCTGGAAAATTATAAATTAGTAATTACACTGAAAGAAACAAAGTGATCCTTTATCATAGAGAGGCTTTGATGTATCTAATGAGGCAAATTTTCACAAACAACGGTGTCAAATATAAATTTGTCGCATTCAAGAAGTCATTTTCCCTTCACGTTTGAAATTAAATATTACCTGACACAGATGTTCAAAAGCAGTTTCATGTATGGAGTAGACCTAACAGTTCAAATACATATAAGAAAATTTGTTTTATCATTTTCAGAAATAATTTAAGCGAAATCTTATCTTGGCGTAATGTTAAAAGTACGTGGGTTAAATTTGTAACACGAATCTATCATAAAAGTTGTCTTTGCCAACTTTTGGGTAATCTAGAGAACGTGATACTCAAAGGCATCCATTTACATTATAAAGCAGCTGCATTCGTACGAAATTGCAGAGGAACGCTTAATTTCAGCTTTCGCATTTATCACGTCGTGGAAAAAACCTCCACTCGTAAAAGGCGAGCACCTTCTCCCTCCCCCACCCTTTTTTTCAGAAACATTTCGGTTAACCGATAGCCATCAAAAGTGAATACAAAATGAATCTATTCAGAAATAAAATTCGGCGATATAAAAGGAAAATTTATTTAAGGGGGGTGAAATGTATCACTTGCGTTAATGGAATGTTTACGATTTTGTAAATTGCCGACGTCTTCGCGAAGAACGACATATTTTCAACGTCGCGAGAGGGAAATAAAAAGGCGCCCCCGTAAAACAATTTTAGATTGTTGGAATGTCTTAATAACTTTTATGTGGCAGTATCTTTATTGAAATTGATTTCTTATGCCAGTTTTAGACAACGGAATATTTTTTATAAATCAAAAAAATTCGTCGGTTTAAACGCCTCTTTAAAAAGGTGGTATGAATAATTTTGGGTTAGATAATAGTGGACAAACGTTGATTATGGGATAGAAACGAATTTTTTTCAGTTCATAACTTTGTGTTTTAGTCCAGTTACCATACCTAGATTAAAATCAGGGTGGTAGCTTATAAAAAACTTTCTGGTAGGTATGTTGTACGGTGGTTTTCAGAAGTACTACGCCCCTTCTTCCAATAAAACATTCGATCCCAAATTGCCGAAGTAGGTGAAAACTTTCTCGTGCCGTTATATGGGGGAAATATGGTTATCCATTCCCTAGATTCATTAAGATAGCCATTTACAAAGTCGGTGGCCAAACCCAAACTCCAATTGGCTAGGTAGACTCCTCCTGTGCAAGATTCAACCAAATACCACGTATGGTCATTGTCGATCACAATAGATGATTTTGTTTTTAATCAAAGAGTACCCAAGCACCCTTTGTTTTAATTAAAAGTATATTTTAGGCACTTTAATGTTTATAATAATACAATTTTATATGGGATTGACTGTTATCTAGAAGCAAAAATATTAAAAAGTCAAAAAATTGTGAGGATTTTTGGTCCCCTTAGCACAACGAAATTTTTTTGGAAAAATTGGGCGTTGTACTACTGAACACCACCGAACATCATTCGGAAACTT